CACTCACTCACTCTCACACTCACTCACTCTCACACTCACTCACTCTCTCTCACACTCTCTCTCACACACATTTTATTGTCCTCCTTTTAGGATGTACCTTAAAGCTTACTTTTTGATCAAGCTTCTGGTCATTTGTCCTAATATTTCCTTGTGTGGCTCAGTCATATTTTGTTTTCTGTTACTCCCTGTGCAGTGCCAGCAGATTTTATTAATAAAAGGTGCAATATAAATTGAAGTTATCGCTTTTCTCTGGGGAAAATGCACATGTTGAAAATACAAATTTGAAATTATCTGAAAGTTATTTTTTTGAAAATGACACAAAGGAAATAATTTTCTACTGTGAGGTACATTTCTAAATTCTGTTTTTGCAGCAATAAAACCGACCAATTGTAAAAAAGATGGTTTGTTAACTCTAGAAGAATTTGAATCTTGGGACAGAAAATTCCGATTGAAAAGTGAAGATTTAAGAACACCAAAATTCATGCCAATTTCATTTGAGTTTGTAAAAGATGAGCCAGAAGCCACGGTAAGTTATGAAATGTTTCATTCATTCAGCTACAATTTGCAAATAGAGAATGCTATTGCTTGTGATATGGGAGGAAATAAATTAATATTGCCTCTTTAAGTTTGCTCCATAATACTGATCTTTTACACCAAATGACCTAAATCTCTTTTGTATAAAGTTTTCTGTTTTGATAGTTACACAAGTCTTTTACTTTCTTTTATGGACAAATGGTTTCAATGTCATATTCATCAGATAGGCACCCATGCTTTCCACTTCACAACTATGTCTTTTCTGCACTTCAAACATTACTTATAAAATACTTTGAGATGCTTGGTGATGAAAAGCATTACGTAAATGCAAGTTAGAGGCCTAGACGATGGCTTTGTGGTATTATTGCTAGACTATTAATCCAGAGACCCAGGTAATGTCCTGCAAACCTGGGTTCAGTTCAATTCAATTCAATTTTTAAAAAATTTGGATTAAAAGTCTCGTAATGACCATGAAACCATGCTGATCATCAGAAAAAAACATTAATGGCACCTTACCCAGCCTGGCCTATATATGACTGCCGACCAGCGTTGAGTCTCAACTGGGCAATTAGGGATGGACAACAAATACTGGCCTAGCCAATGAAA